CGCCGGGACGGGAAGCTGAGTAAACACAGGCCCGTCGGCGACCCAGGCCATGGACCGAACATCACATCCGTCCGGCGGGCGGGCGGGGCCGTCTGGATCCGGTCAGAGAACGCTGCGCTCTGTCCGGTGACCGGTCTGGGTCCGGTCACCGGAGGACGGTCCGGGGGGGGGGGACCGGACGGCTCCCCGTGTCCGTCACCCCGGCCGTCACTGCGTCTGTCATACCTGTCAGACCCGCCACTGGCCCGACATCGCCCGGTGTGGCTGACGAGTGGCACGCGCCGCCGATCCCTCGGCACACTTTGACGGCACGGCTGTGACTCAAAGGCACACTTGTGAAATTGGCCCGGCCTAGCCCTGAACCTGAGCCAGACAGGTGGGATGCGATGAGGTGTCATTTTTTGGCTTCACGTCCGACAACTGACCCACGCCGTCCCTCTCTGGCTCGGCCGTCCGGTTGCCGATCGCCCGCGGTTTTCCGAGGCGGTCGGCCGCTCCCTGTCTCGGTTACAAGGTTGTTTCGGCTGAGGAGTGTCGCTGTGCCACCTGCGACCACTTGCCACCACCTGTGACGAGCTGTGACGGTCTGTGACACCTGCGGCAGGCTGCTCTTAGCCGCAGCGAATTTTCCTGCCGCCTCATTCCATCTTCTGGATACGAAACTGAGTGATTTACTGATCTGAATGTGCCCATGCCTACACAAACAGTTCTCCTTTTATCTGTCTGGCGTTTTTAACTTACCAGGCTATCGCTTAATTTTCAGGGTCTTTAAAATTCCTCGCAGCAGTATATATTGCTCGTCTCGACTAGTGATGACGTGACGCTATTTGGGTATGAGAAAGTGTCCTTGCGTCCGCGGGCGCTGCGCCGTCGACGCCTTCCCCTCTTTGTGGCTGTTTTTTGTCCGACTCGGCTGGGGACGGCAGCCATTCATTGATCGTGCCATGAATTGTCCTCGCTTGGCGCAGCAGTAGGGGAAAGGGGGCTGCTAATACCAGGGGTGGCGTGGGGAGAGCTATCGTCTGAGGCAAGTTCGGAGCCGGGGCAGTGAGGAAAGGGACGCGCCCCGAAATATCTCGGGAGATTTGTCATGGTTCGTTAGGCGGGAAGGAAGAATCGCTGCATATGGATCACTCATCCGTCAGTTCCAGTATTTCACGGAGCGAGTATGTTGTTGAAACGTTGCGCTACAATTGCCTGATGGTCGCTAAAAGGCCTTGACATTCAGCGTGAATACGCACATACATACACACAGTTGGATGACTTGCTATGTGCTGACCTTGGTTCCGCCGTGGTCCATGCAGAGCTGTCACCACTTGCATTGTCTTCCCTCGGCACTACACAGACTTCCGGAGGTCTTTCAGGCCGCGTTCCTGCGTCACGCGTGGTGTAACAGTGCGGCGGCCAAACCCCAACTCAGCCCTGTCCTCCGCCCTCAAACAGACCCAAGCAGGTTTGATTCATTCAGCGTCGGGATTCATTGCGTCGACTCTCCGCTCTTCCCCATCCACTGCAACCGCTCTTCGCTATCCCCTGTCGCTATTCGCTGTTTCATGTCCCACTGCCACGCTGTCCGCTGTCCTGCTGTCCCACTGCCTCGCTGTCCGCTGTCCCACTGTCCCACCGTCTCGCTGTCCGCTGCCCCGCTGTCCCGCTGCCTCGCTGTCCGCTGTCCGTTGTCCCGCTATATCCGCTGTCCATTCATTGTCCCACTGCCCATTGTCCTCTGTCCTGCTGCCTGTGTCCTGGCTACAAACGACTGTTTGTCGTCCCACTGTCCAACTGAGATAAGTCTGGGCAGCGCCGGCCTCCTGTTTATAGGCGGTGTTCAGGCACGTCCGTCATTCAGGCATGTGCCTGGAAGACAAGGAGTAGTTGCTAGGCGGTAAAATGGGGCAGAGTATAATAATTATAAAACCGGCGCGCATCGCGGCTCGATGTGCAACCGGTTGGGCCGTGATGGTGCATTTTTGCAACGTTGTTGGTTTAATGATTTTATTTATCCACTGCTTGCAAGCAATGCATTGATAATCTACTTGTTACGGGCTGTTTAGCCTGAGACAGACTATGCACTGCTGCGATGACTTGGGCAAACTGACGCTAACTTTCCATCTACAATGCATTGTCGTGCGATTGTTGTTAGATCACCGACTAATTTGTTGTGAGTAAGAATTTCAGGCTGGAGTGTGGCTCTGGCTGGTCTCCGGTTAAATCTGCTCGGTCATTGAGCGACGACACTTGAGTCAGTGACGTAATGTTTGTTGGAAGCAGTGGAAGCTCCAGCACAGACTACAGATAGCTCACTCTCCGATCAAAGTTCGCTGTCCACAAGGCAACCGAAACTCCCAGATTGGTCCAGCAGGGTCCCGCGAAGCGACGCTCGAGATAACTGGAATGCTTCCGGACAGAACTCGAACCCAGCATGGTCGGCACTCGGCATCCTCTGCTCACTGCTCAGCCGTTACGTTAGTATCTCCTTACGGACTCTGGCACTGCCAGTTACCAGAGCCATCAGCCGGGCCGCTATCCGCGCACAGCCGCTGCAGAAAGCCGCATCATCCGGAGGTCCGATAACTAGAAACACTGATGACGTCATCCGTCACTAATGACGTCACTTTCGGCTGAGAAAGTCTCTATAGTTGTCTAGATCTCACCGTCGACCATTTCGTCCACGGAAGGCTGAATTTACAGCGGGAACTAAAGGCAACTTGTTGTCTAATGACTATTCCCAGTCCCTGACAACTTCTCGCTGTCACTAGGTTGTCCGTCACTGTTGACCGAATCCATTTCCTTCATAGTTTGCGGCGGAAGAAACCTCTGACTCACGATTCCTTGTGTCAGACGGAAACGCTTCTCAGACGGAAACGCTTCTCCGCCGCACCCCGCACTCCAGCGCCAGATATCCTGCGTTCCTCTGTCGAACACTCGCTGGCTGACCGGTTTTCGAGAGGGAATTTGATGATTTCTCAGCGCCAGAGGTACGGAATCCAACAACCTGTCGTTTCGCGGCTGCGCTCGAATTTGGTGGCCTTGACCGTCCAGCGGGACTGGTCCGTCAGTACTTGTGGCGATCCTGTTCGGAGGGCCTGTGGCGTCACCCAATAGCGGACATATCTCAGTCGTCTGGGTCGTGTCAGGCGGGCGGACCGGGGGGCGGAGGCGACTGTGGTACCGCGCTACCCGGCCAGCCGCGGAAATTCACCCGGGCAGGCGGCCGAGGGGCTGGAAACGTACCCCATGGGTCTGCACCAGGGTCGCGAGCACTGCAGGATGGGAAGGGTGATAACTGATAGTGACTGTGGCGGAGATGTTTGTTCTGCAGTGTGCGTTCAGAGTGCGGTATGGGAGACAGCTGACATCTCGAAACCCATCCAAAGCTGTCAAATGTCGGAAACTTGTCCGCGAACCATTGTAAGTCATTCTTGTGGATGTTTTGGCACTTTGACTTTGATCAAACACTTTTCATGAATATTGAATGGAAGTGCTTTGCTATAAGTGTTGTTTGACAGATGTACTTCATGACCCTTTGAATTAAGAATGCATCATTCACTTACTTTGTTGCCAGTTCTTATCAGCACGGTCGACACCACTGAAAGGGGGAAACGGTCAGGTGGACACGGGGACACGAGGGGGTGGACTCAGGCGGTCGGAAAGCCATCGGTACACGAGGGTCATGGGGTGAAACAATTAGCTAGCGGCCACTCAGGTCACGCGATTCGCGAGTTCACAACGCGACAGGAGCAACAGACAGACACAGACACAGGTCAAACGGATATGTGTGAGACACGCTTCACATGCGGGCTGACGCGAGCGAGCAACGACAAACGCCGGGTACAGGAAGGGAGCTCCATGGAGACACGGCAAGTGAACACTGTTCGGTTTCCCAGTAGTTGGGAACGCGGCGCGGCCGACCACCGTAGAGAGGCGGAAACGGCGGCGATGTTGGGCCAGTTCGCGTGACGCCTGGAGCACTGAGTCATGACCGAGTGGCTGAACTCGCTCGACTGACCGACTGAGCGCGCTCGACTGACCGACTGACCGGCCGGCGGACCACCGGAGCGGGCCGCTTTCCGATCTCGTTAGCTCCATATACAGACAGCTGGGGTTCCATCACGTCCCCTTTCTCTCAGTACCGCTCCCGTTCGCGCCTTTGTATGGTTTTGTCTTGGCGACGGCGATGCTCCGCGGACGGCTGCCAACTCGGAAGTTGGACGGGACAAAACGCCGACGACGCTTCCGTCCGTCCCTGGCAGGCACATCTCCACGCCGAACTGTGCAGCGGCGGTGCTGCGACTGGCTCCTTTGTGTGTGCTGCTGTCCTCTGTTTTGATTTAATTTTGCACCACCTTTGTTAGTGACACGTTAGTCACTTGCGACATGGATCGTTGCCAGAAGCTAACAGAGACCCACTGTCCACAGACATTGCCAACCCTGTTATTAGTAAGCTTTGTCGAGGATGATCCAGCTTACAGATGTGTCGAACTACTGCTCCTTGCACACATCCTCAGTCTCCCTTCAACTGAACCTCCGCTCTAAGACGCTCCCGCCGTCCTTTCTGTCTCTTGTCCTGCCACTCGCCGCTGACTGTCCTGCCTCACACTGGCCGTGTGTGTGGCGTGTGTTTGCAGTGATGTCCTGTCCTCTGCCGTGCCCTGTCTCCGTGCACGCCTCTCGCCTGCGCCGCCCACTCGTCTATGCTTGGTTTCGTAACTGGCCGCGCCTCGGCCGGTCAGCTCAGGACACCGACCGCGGAGCGCCTATCGGCCGCCAACGGAATTCTGAGCAGAGCCCGCGACGGCCACAGACGCAGCGCTGTTTGCCCACAATCGAGCGCCACCGATAATCGAAGCAGGACACGGACCGCTTTTTACCGTCGCCGCGCCGTTTCTGCATAGATAGGAGCACCTTTGTGTCCGAAGAACATCTATTAGGTGGCGCGAGACGGATGGGGTGGTTGCGAAATGTTCGCATTTTCAACTTTTTCTCTCCTTGCTTTGCAGGTGGATGAGCTGCTGGACAATCTTCTCAGTCTTCAGAGCGATCATGCAGATTCCACCGGCAACGTAAGTATATCAGACCATCTCGAGCTTGAGATACATAAACAGCTGCTAAAAGAAATCCGGGCCTTCTGCCGCCTGTGTCTTTTATCTTTGCTGTTTTGTTTATTTTCCAAAGCATATGAACTATCGTATCCATTGTCTATGCGTAGCGACGCGTCAATATGGAATGGGATGTGTTTTACGTGCGATTCTTGCATAGTGTCTGGGAAATACCACTGGAATGCCGTCATATTTCGCACAATCTCTCGGCGTTCTATAGATTATCGATCACGTTAAACCGGACGGATTAGGGGTCACTGCGAGCTGACTGTCCGCGCGCCCGGGGGGGCTATTAGCCTCCAAATACCGGCGGCCGCCGGGGTCGCTCGGCTGTCTGTGACGGGTAGCAGCGTTCGGGCACATTAAAACAGTCCAAATTACGCAGTAGGGTGCCGATCCGCCGACGCCCGTTGAGGGCGCGTGCCACCAGTTTATTTAACCACACGCCAGCTCGTAAGGCGCGCGACAGAGTACATCGCCCCTGTTCGTAGCTGTCCCTCCTGACAGAAAAACACGTAATCGGACAATTCCTGAGATGGACACACGCTCGCCCTTTTCCGGTCTGATTTTGGCCATAGTTTTTATAGTTTATCGTGTGTTATTGATCTAGTAGTGATGTCAATTACAGAAAATCGGAATACCGATACCAAACCAAATACCAACCGAAACCGTGAGGAATACCGAAACGAACCAACCTTGGAACATGAGATTCGTGGTTTTTCTCATTTATTTATTTCAAATGTGCGAGGATAAATTAGCCGTGCATAAATGCGGTACGACTCAACGAGTATAGCTCTAAGTGTTCGGTGACGTCGCGACATGAATTAGGCCTACTTGGATGTTATATCTGACCTATTAAGTGCTAATTATAAGACAGGTATAACTATAAGATATCTTACGAATTACGTCCGCATACCTACCTGAAATCTGGCCACTGAAAAGCTCCTTCACACATCTATGCGCGTCACATAAAAAAGACCAGCCCATGAAAGTGAACCATTCGACCTTCTCCCCACATTCGCTCTTCCCAATCCGCGTTCCCTCTTCACGCACCTGTTTGGGGCGCGTGACCCTGGCCGCTGGTAATTGATTTATGGCTGATTGATGAGGCCAATTATGTGCGTGCCGATGTATCTAGCGGTGTTTAGAAGTGCGCCACCCAGGAGGCCGTGGCTGTGAGGACAGATTCGGCCCCGCTCCAAAGCGCAGTGAGCTGGGCGGTTCGACGCGCGCTCCCCGCCGCTAATATGGCTATTTCTCGTTTCCTCGGAATTCATTATGCGCCGATGCCGCACGCATGTATAACTTACGAGACTGACAAGGTATGAGCTAACGTAAATGCTTCGCTAAATGCTTACTTGTCAGGTCTAGGTCCTCTTGATTACTGGTTTTCATGGATTCTGACAAGGTTTTTACAACTGTTGAAATGGGATACGGCTGTCCAGCTCGGCCCCACAAACATTGAGGCTCCTAAGCCGTTGCCATGTCGACCAACATATGCTATCACACAGATAGGAAAAGTGACGCTTCTCAGTAAATGGCTGTCAGTCAGTTCATTCAGTTTGACTTATGATTGTGAACTGCCCTCGTGTTACCGAGGTATTGCATAAACATGTTACAGATTAGGGAACGATTCCATACCATTTGGTGTACCGTGCGGCTAGCACGGCCCCACCGACCCATCACCAATTCACCACCCACTGCCGCCCGTCGCGCCGGGCGCCGGCCGGCCCGGGCGAGTTTTCCGCTTTCCTCGGGCGCGATCTCTCTTCTCTCCTCTCTTCTCTCTCTCTCTCTCTCTCTCTCTCTCTCTCTCTCTTCTCTCTCTCTCTCTCTCTCTCCTCTCTCTCTCCTCTCTCCTTCTTCTCTCTCTCTCCTCTCTCTTCTCTCTTCTCTCTCTCTCTCTCTCTCTCTCTCTCTCTCTCTCTCTCTCTCTCTCTCTTCTCTCTCTCTCTCTCTCTCTATCCTCTCTCTCTCTCTCTCTTCTCTCTCTCTCTTCTCTCTCTCTCTCTCTCTCTCGGTGACGTCCGTCGGCGGCCACCAGCAGTAGCGGCAGCCCGCCCCGGGGCCGCCGCCGTTTCACCTTCACTGGCGCCTCCTCTCCTCTCCCTCACTGCGCCGCGCCGCGCCTGGCCCGTCCGGTTTTCCCAAACTGCGGCGATGGTGGCGCGACAGCGGCCGCACTCAATGGAGAGAGAGGAGCGCGCGCAGCGAGCCTGGCGCACATGCGCCGTCTCTGCCGGCTGCCGCCGCCTTGTTTGGGTCGCAGGTATGTTCTTTCTCCGGTGTCCTGCAGACTGTAGGTAGTGGGTCGTGGGTCCGTTGTTTTATCTTCATCCGGCAGCTGGAGTGTTGTCTGTTCTTTTGTGGACGCTCACACGCCGGCTCGTTTCCGCCGAGAGTGTCTCCTGTCAGGGCCGTGGCTGGTGGGGTCATGGCCCCATTCTCTGGCGGCTCTGCGCCTCCCGTTTGTCGGGTCACACATGGCTTGTGTCCGAGTTCATGTACGAGGGGGGGGGGCGGACCCACCGCTCCAGACCCCGTCACCGATGGTAATGAACTCTGTCAATGGCACGCGGCGACCCGTTATCGGCACCGGATGGAGGCTATATCTGGAGCCCGGCCGACACCCGCTGTGGGCGTGCCGGCCGCAGGCACGCAGCCCAACAGCTGCCGACATTATTATAATGGACACCAAACACGCACCGGGCTGCTCTTGTGTAATGTTACGCGATTTTCATTGCGAATGAATGGATGCGAATCGACTTTAAAATTTCTCCCGTCACTCCCCATTTAGTCCCCAACTTCCGATTAGATTTACCGCTGTCTAAGTTGGATACGCACAGCGTGGCTTGTGTTGCGTAATTCGAAGCGTTGTTACGCGTATCGACATAAATAAGGAGGTAGCCGCTGTGTGTCAGATTGTGGCCAAGATGTAATTAACATCAGCCTTTAGATTTGCAGCCAGTGAATTTATTTCTCTATTGCGACATGCGATCGTTTGAGCCCCACCGCCCGCACATTTTCGAAGCTAATTACGACAAAGCAAAATTGCACCAATGTTCAAACGTCATAATTGCTGTGACGTTCTCAGTAAGTTGAACACTGAACAGTCAATCCATTGCGCCCTCATTTCGTGCGATACAATTATCTGTACAATTATCTGGTATATGCGCTTAGCTCTGTCAATGTGTGTTGATCGTCAAGGCCGAGAATGCGTGGTTGCCCCTGTCTCGACTCATGCAGCGCCAGCTACGCGACCAACTGACAGCGGAAAATGCGGTTGCATAACCGTTCCCGAACAGGGGGATAGCTGCGTCCCGTTCTGTCGGCCGGTTCCCCACCGGGCCCCGCTAACAGGTCATCCACCGCCGATAGATACGATCGCGGTGTGCAGGCACACTGCACTCCGTCCTGATCCGCCGCAGACAGAGCGGAAACCTCACCTGTGCCGGCCGTAATTATACGTGATTGGAGCATCTGCTCGATTCTGTACTTTGCGGGAAAATGGCGTAAAGTTTGCGTGTTTATTCCATTGTTACGATCATTAAGTAAGCTGATAGACTGCTCTTTCACCAACATGTTCACTTTAATGAAAAACAATATCAAATTCTTATCTGTATTCAATGTAAACGCGTTTCGATTACTTCTTTATCAATACAATGATACAATACAGATATAATGATTATGAACAGACACGATTCAATGTGTGTTAACGCGATTCAATGTTATGAACACACACATTGAATCGTGAGTGTTCATAATCATTAGGTATATCTGTATTGTATCAATGTATTGATAAAGAAATAATCGAAACGCTTTACATTGAATACAGATAAGAATTTGATATTTTTCATTAAAGTGAACATTTGTCAAAATGAACAATATACTTTCGCCAACATTTGATATTGAACTGATTGTGAGTTATGATTACGATTACGATACGATTACGATACGATACTCGTATTAGTATGTAAGGCGTTACAGTTTCACTAATTTTCTTCTTTTCTGCATGAGTAATAAGTGGAGCTGCTAAGCTCCATTGACAACGGTTGCAATGTAACTGATACAAATGTGGTGTGTGCTGTGATACGGTAACTATAACGGTTTCCCTCGTGATATCTATCTCGCAAAAACAATGGTCAATCAGTTCCGTTTAGCCTTTCTACGGAAGCATTGTTTCCAAGCCGTGTTTGTTGTAAACATTCGTAATGCTCGCAGCAACAAGCTGTGACAGTAGGGTGTCGTGAGGTTTCCCCTGTGTGGTATAGCCACCTTCATAACTGGATTAGTTTCGGTCTACTACAGTGTTGACGACAGGAACGTAATCGTGTAATTGGCTGAATTCCGTGGGCTGCGTTATTCCGTGGACTATTTCTATTCCGGAGAAGTTAGATTAGAGCATGGTATAAGAACAATGGTCACAGAAAATAATCGTGAAATGCGTAGCCATATATATGTTACAGGGAGTATGAGAAATCAGTTAGTTTGCAAACTACCTAGTGAGTTTGCAAACTCCCTGAACGATCAGGTAGTTTGCAAACTCCTAGGTAGTTTGCAAAGTACCTGGTCGAACAGGTAGTTTGCAAACTGCCTAGGTAGTTTGCAAAGTCCCTAGTTAGTTTGCAAACTCCATAGGGTTGTTGCAAACTACCTAGGTAAAATGCGGAAAACGACGAAACAACAGCCATAGGGAGTACATACGTAGATAAGTCGCGGTGAATTGGTTCAGAGCTCAGAATGAAGTTTGGCAGCAATGGTGCATAACGAGACGATGTGGTGTTTTGATGACGCTCTTTCGCAGCTTACTATTTATTTTTTGTCTTGCTCGCAAATATCACCTTACAGCTTAAAGGAAATAGTTCACTTTCACGAAATTATTTTTTTTTGCAACGATTTATGATTTTTTTATGTTCAAAATAATCAGCAAAGAAAATAAAACCTTTTTATAACAAAAGATTTTT